GTTGGGGGATGGGGAGGGGCGAGGTCGTGGTTAGAACGCTTGGTTGAGTGCATCAGACAAGACGACGACGAAGAAATGCTGCTGTAGTGTCAAGTTTTTGCCATGTCGAAGAAACACTGTTTTTTTCACGCCCCTGCCTTTTGAAATTCCTTGCAGCAGATGTTTTCTACCTCGCTGGGCATTTTAATGCAGTTAACACACATGCACTTGAATAATTATGTATGTAAGTATGTATGTATGTTACAGTTATGAAAACATTTTTATAAATTTCTGAAAGTACATTACTGGACAATGATGTAATCTGCAGAATTTACACTTCAATTATGAGACTATGGTATAAATATATTCAACTGTATAACAGTTCCACTGCAATTCATGTTATAATGTTAGAATTAAAGAACAATAAACATAATACATATTACCGTTTGCACTTATCTGTACATAGTAAATACAGTTATTTTTCAGCGGGTGGGGGTGTGCCCGAAGCGTGAATCCGTATTCAGAAATGCACGGAAAACAAATAACGATTGCTAACGTTTGCCTGTTACATTACAGTACATAAAATTTCACTTACCACATAAACAGAGTAAAGAGAGGTGACTGAGGACGATGGCGAATGATTTGCAGATCCTGAGCACCACTGGCAAACATCTAATCTTGTCAAATGTGTGGTAAGTACTGCCGCTCCATAGTATACACAGAGTACATGTGATTGCAAATATCGAAAGTGAAACTAAAAAGCGATCGTGCACTCAAAAGCAGTTTCAATGCCAGGCATAATAACGGCTCCCCGATGCCAGCAATTTATATAGGCTACAGTATAATTACCCAATGACATAACTGCGAGAGAAAGTATTGAAATATATATTTTTCTCCCATCTCGTATTTATTCCCTTTAGGGGTTCGGGTTCCGTATAAGCGTCATTTTCAAAGGTTCTGCGTGATCCTCTTGTTCAATATTCTCGGTGTCTTAATCCGGTGTCGTGCATCCTTAACTATACCGGAGCAGACGGAACTTGCTGCTGTTCGCCAATCACAATGCACTGGGACAGCTAACCAATCACAACACATTTCGTTTTTTTCGAAAGGCGGGCCTTCATTAAAACCCAGAACTAATCGAGCCGTTTGTGCCAGACTGGGGAGAAAGGTATTGTAATAATGTAAATTATGTGAAAAATTATGCGTTTTTCGAACCACCAAGCATGAGAGCATGTTTTAGTACACCCCCAAAACAAAATCAAGACTTTGTAAAAGAGCATAATAGGACCCCTTTAAGTCAACAACAGTCATTGTCATTGAATAAGCATGTTAACAAATCAAGTTAAGATGAATAAAGTTTAAGCACCTGAGCTTTACAAGAGCACATTTTTTAAAGTCTCCTGTACACTTTTAAAGACATACCACAAACACATTCATTTTTAACGTTAGTGAGTAACGAGTAATTGGGAATGACACAATCTTAATACTTGAACTGAAAAAAGCTTGTAATATTTCCTCAGAATGCGCTGAACCCCAATATGGAGGGATCCATTGACTCGGTGGGCTCTCACCAGGCTGATAACAACAGAGCCAGACATTCATCTGTGACTTCAATCAGTGTTTCTGCAGCCACACTGACACTGGCCTTTGCACTGGTCAATCAGGTTCTGTAAACACAGCCTGACTCTACAACACCAGGAAGCATATGATGGATTCTTCTGACCTCAGTCAAATAACTTCTCTAAAGTGACATTGATCTTTCTCTCTCTCTTAGTGTGTGTGTGTATGTGTGTATCACACGCCATCTTTAAAAACCAGTCGGAACAAAAAACAACAAATCCTTTGCAGGAGCTTCTAAAAGACTCGAAACACCACTGCCCCATTGAAGAGAAAGTAAGGAACCCCCGGCGGCTGACACTGAACATGGAGAACTTCTACAAACGTCTTATGCAAGAAGGAAAGCAGCCCACCGGGTTCTCCAATATCATGATGGATGGTTGATCGAGAACAGGCTATAAAATGCAATCATGTGACCCATTGATGAACTCTCTGTATATTTACCTAGAGATATAGAGAGCATCCATTATAAAAACAAAACTTTTCACTATCTCCCCCATGCACATCAGTACAATAGTGCTCACTGCCTTGATCATTACCAATAATTCCATGTAAATGTTTTTGTTTGAAGAAAAAAAATATGGATGAAATCTCGATTTGTGCCCTCGAATTTGTTTCCGGCGAACTATGTACAAGAGTTCATCCGCGACATGTTTGGATCCTCCAATCTAGCGAGATTTGGATCCTACTGCCCTGTGTACAGTGTGTATAATGATGTTTGTAAGTATATGAGATTCTTTTTTTCCCTGTTTTATCTCTAAAAAACCTTTAGCATGTGCTGGAAAGCTGAGTGACGCGGGGAACTAGAACAAAAGCGGAGAGCCGTGTGAAACGTATCACCATGGAGAGCCGTCAGTGCCAATGATGTTCGTCTTAGGCTGTTATTATGTGTAATCATTTCTTTTTTGCCAAAAGACTTGGATTATATTCAAAGAAAAATGCTCCGGGGAGAGTGGAACAAAAGATCCATTTGCGGAGGGGGTCAATTGTTGGTGTATTTTATAGTGTGCAATCTATCGTGTGGCCTTACTTTTTTGTCTTTGCTCTGTTCCTCTCTCTTATGTAATGGTTTCAGACCGTACCACTTGCAGAGTACCGCCAAGACCGACTGATATGATTTCAGACATTCAAAAATAGCAGCTCCTATGACTCAAAAAGGTCTTGGTTCATTTGTGATGCTTTAAAATGAGGCAAGACAGAGGCTCAAGAATGTGTCAGAAATATTTGTTTAAATCTGAATAAAAACATCCTAGTAATGTCTCGAAGAGTCGTGACTTTAACAGCATCTGTTGCAGAATTAAAATAGGTCTGAGTGATTATCTTGGAATACATTTTGAAACACTTTGTGTCAACACGAAATCACAATTGACCCTGTTTAACAATATTCTAATGAAAAAATGTTTTCATAGTCGGTTCATATCAATGTGTTCATAGAAACAGCCAGCTTGATCTTCACCTGAAATGTTCTGCTGATGTTTTCAGCGGCTTTGGTTCTGGCAGTATTTTTCCATTCATTTATCGCAAAGGGACTTTTAAAAAAAAGTATCTGTTAAGAAGTTATAAGTCATCAACCAATGCAACCAGCTATGAGGTGATTCACAACATTACAAACTGTGATTTGAAACAAAAAAAAGTGTTAACTGGGGTAACGAATGTAATAAGGGAAAGAACATAATCCCATGAAACATTGCAAAAATTATAACAAAAACAGTGGATAAATATAAAACTGTTAATTGAAAGATGTTGATTGAGTATATAAAAAACTATAATTTACATTTATTGTAAAAGTTGCAAAGATTATATTTTGAACAAATACTGTTCTTTTTAACTTTTTATTCATCAAAGAATCAAAGAAAAAATGTATCACAGGTTCCAAAAAAAAACAAAAAAACATTAAGTAGCACAGCAGTTTCAACATGGATAATAAATCAGCATATTATAATGATTACTGAAGGATCATGTGACACTGAAGACTGGAGTAATGGCTGATGAAAATTCAGTGCTGCGTCACAGAAATAAATGATATTTTAAAGTACATTAAAATATGAAACCAATAATAGAAATTGCAATAATATTTCACAATATTACTGTTTTTTCTGTATTTTTGATCAAATAAATACAGTCTTGATGAGCATAAGAGATTCCATTTAAAAAAAAAACATAACTTTTGAATGGCAGAGTATGTATATACTCTTTGTATATGTATATACAATAATATACAACAATAAGTATGTATATACTTTCACAATTTGAAGTCCATTCTACAGTGAGGAAGTTTATTCACAAGTGGGAGACATTTAAAAAAGACACCAATCCTCCCAGGAGTGTATGTCCCAGCAAATTCACCCCAACATCAGACCGTGTAATGCTCAGAGAAATGGCAGACAACCCAAAAACTAGGCTACACCTCAGACTCTACAGGCCTCAGTTAAGATGTTAAATGATAAAGTTCATGACAGTACAGTTAGAAAAAGATGGGACAAGTATGGCATGTTTGGAACGCTTGCCAGAAGAAAGCCTCTTCTATGGAAAAAAACTAAACCTTGGCAGCACGGTTTAGGTTTTCAAAGTTGCATCTGAACAAATCATGAGACTTCTAGAGCAATGTCCTTTGAACAGACTAGACCAAAGTGGAGATGTTGTGCCATAATGCACAGTGCCATATTTGGTGAAAGCCAAAAGAGCATATCAGCAGAAACACCTCATACCAAAATTCACACATGCTGAAGCGGTGATGATTTTGGGCATGTCTTGTAGCTACAGGACCTGGGGACCTCACAGTGATTGAGCCGACCATATATACTCCTCTCTATATCAAACTATTCTAGAGTCAAATGTGAGGATAGCTAAAGTTGGGACAAAATTGGGTCATGCAACAGGACAATGACCCCAAGCACAGCAGCAAATCTACAACAGAATGGCTGAAAAGAAAATAATCAAGAGGTTGCAATAGCCCAGTCAAAGTCCAGAGCTCATCCTGACTGAAATGCTGTGGTGAGAGCTGTGCACAAACAAATGCCCACAAACCTCAATAAACTGGAGCAATGTTGTAAAGAAGAGTGGGCCAAAATTCCTCCAGAACAATGTGAGAGACTGATGAAGTCATACAGAATATGATTACTTCAAGTTATTACTGCTAAAACTGGATCTACAAGCAACTGAATCATAGGGTGTCCAAACTTTGTCACACATGGCTTTTCCATCTTGGCTATATTTGTGTGAAATAAATAATGACAAGGTGTGATATGTCATGTGATATTGTTCATCTGAGGCTTTATTTTCCAAATTTTAAAACTTACCAAGGACCAGATAATTTTTTATTATGTTTTGATACAGAAAACTCATCAAATTAGTGTTTTTAAACGTTTACATTTATTCCAAAAGAATAACTCATGGGAGTAACAATTTAAACAATATATTTTATTTGTGAACTTATGTTAAATATTGGTCACAGACATGGAGATTTATTTTACATTTCACCAAGCTAATTACTCACTAAAAAACTCCCACAGATCATGTTTTTATGCCATTTTAAGTCTTATTTTGACATAAAGTGGTTATATCTTAGTATGTGAGTTGTTTATTTACTTTTTAAAATTAGTCTTCCCATTAATGCCATTGTATTGTTCATTAAAGGTCCCCTGAAATGCTTAGAAACACGCAGCGTTACTCTATGTGTTGACGTCATTTTAACTGAAACAGGAAGACAGGGCGGTACATATCAAGCAGCCCCGCCCCTTTTTAAAATAGCCAATAGCATTCGTTTATATCACAGCTTGTGCTAGAGCCATTCAGAGCCGTTGAGCTCCATAAAGCCGCATTTGACAGGGTATGCCAGCCACAATCTCATCCATATTGCTATAAAATATAGCATTCTGTGTAGAATTCAAATAGCTCCGATACATTTGTGGTCTGCGCTGACTCGCGCATGTGATCCGCTCCATGCTATCGTGTCTCTGGACCGGAGCAGAGTGTGTGTGCGGTGCGATGGCGTTCCGTGCTATCGTGTCTCTGGACCGGAGCAGAGTGTGTGTGCGGTGCGGTGGTTAGCATGACACAGCGCGAAACCAGACTTCTTTTTGTCCTCAATGGAAAACATATTTACACGGACTGATTCGGGAACGCGCACAAACACAAGAGGCAGGATTTATCGCATGAACCAATCACAGCCGAACATAAGTCATATCCAATCATATCGCGATGGAGGCACGGTCATGGGTAATGTAGTAATGTAGTTTTGAAATAATGCAGACTGATGGCTTCAACAAAAGCATATACTGTCGATCAACACCTTGTATATCTGTCCTTTTGATTATCATTAAATATCAGTTTCCTTTTAAGAAAATAAATTGAATTTTTACTTCTGGAACCTGACTTTTGCACTCTATTGGTTCATTTTAACCAATAGCAAACTTGCATTTGGTCCGGCTCCATTCTGGTATGTAACTAGGCTTGCCAACCGTCCCGTATTAGCAGGGACGTCCCGTATTTTGGGCCTAATTGATTTGTCCCATACGTGACTTCCCTTGTCCCGTTTTTTGACTGCTACGCTGATCTAACCACTGACTGATACAACAGCAGCAGTGCAGATCACTTTAGAATGTTCACCGATACCTGTCATCATCCAATCACAGCCCCCCTCACGCAGTATACGTTAAGTAAATCAGAAATCGTGAACATAACTGTTCGCGGAAGGCTGCGCAATCCTCTGCCGGCTCGTCGCTCGCGCTAACGCCAATTCTGTCCATGTTTTCACTTAAGTACATACGTTTTGGTGAATACAAACTACGTGATTATTTTTCATGAGTCCAACATCCCACCGCGCAAGAGACGTGATCAGTAAGGGAAGTCGTCTTTCACTATTGTAATGTTGTTTAATAGAGAAAAACATTTTATATTTAAGTAACTAACAGCATAATTCTTAACCTTGGACCTTATTCTTGAAACACAAAATGACCAATAAAAATGTGCCAAGCACCAAAAGCAGCCCATATTAAATCTGTAAGCTGTCTTTAATTGAAAAATACGCATCTTCATGCATACTATATATGTGTGTGTATACACTGTCACTCACCGCCCCCCCCTTAAATGTGTCCATCACAATGTGTGAACAACAGATAAAATGTACTAAAAGTTGCTTGCTTTGGAAGAAAACAAGTCTGATCAAATTTTTTCCCCAAGAGTCTGTTCCTTCATAAACGCATAGTAAACAGCTGTGAGAAACACCACTGCCCCACAGAAATCAGCTCAAGGTCTGATGATAATTCTTTGCAGTTACAAATGGAATCAAAACACAAACACATGGATGTTGTCGCTGTGAGATGTTTGCTGTCAAAGTGCCTGCCAGCTTTGGCAACTCAGCTGCTTTTACTGTTTTATGATGCTTCGGCTTATCTGCTGCTGGTGCTTCATGGGTTATTTTTCTCCCTAAGATCATTAATGCATTTTAACCTATTAATTTTATCCAAAGTGACAGAAAAATACTCACAGATGCTCGGCCAACACATTGCAAGCACACTCTTGTTGACAGTGACAACAGGCACTCACTGAGAGTACAACAGACTGAATTATTATTAAGGTTAAATGTCACAATTTTGACGTTTTAAGTTGCCAGCGCAGACTTTAATCATTAGACTGCATAATGACAAACTTAAGTATAATATATACCCAGGAGATACTGCATTTAGCTACTTCCCGTTTGCCATCTTGATGTCCTTCATCAGTGAGTCTCCATCTGCTCCACTTCCCCCATCATCTAACCATCATGTGTCTATCTCTCTTCACTAATTTGTCTCAAAACATGACAGCTAATTAACATGTTCTATAGGCCCACATCTGCTGTTCAACTACAAGGGCAGTTTAAAACAGCAAAACAATGCATTCATTTTCTCATTTGAGACAGTTTTCATTACATATTACATCATTAACATAATTTGAGTAAAGCATTATGTAAATAGATTTTGAATCCCATATTTGTATAGAATAAATGTAGAAAGATGAACCGTAAAACTCCTTACAAAACGAATGCTAATTTTTGACAGTCCAATGAGATATCTAATGAAAACATATATAGTATAGTCATAAAAACGGTTTATTTTATGGAAAATGGAAAGCCGTAATACTTATCCTCAACTTCCTGTGCAAACCTGCCTTCCATCTGATGTAATCACTTAAGCATAGTCATATGCAGGTATGTG